TAACAACTTATTGTAACATCTTTTTATATAAGTGGTACAGTCGTTTTTGTTCTAAATTTATCAAAAACAGAAATGTTATGGATATTATAAATGGCAAATTTGGTTGTAGTGACTTCTGTTTTGTTTGATGCTAGAAGTTCTAGCTTCCTTATCTAAGCAAGAATATAATGACCCAATTTGCAATTGAATATTTGTAAGTTAGTAACTTTAATCTACTTAATTAAGATTGTGAACTAGATGATTATCATAAGCATAATATTAACAATGCTTTTAGTAAACATTAAATGGTTGTTTGATATTTGTTGAATGGTTTGGTGCAGAATAATTAAGTGGTTAGAATGATTAAGAGACTCTCATGGTATAGTGCAAAATAGAATATAATGATTTGGTAATTGTTTACAATCAAATTAGAACGCTGAATGGTTAAGGGAGGCCCATGGTACAAAATCATTTAGAGGGTTTTAGAACCATGAAGAGACATATTTTTTTTTGTTAAACAAAATTCACCTCTTAATGGTTCAAAGGTTGTCTCTTAATAAAACTATTAAGAAATAAACAAACAACTCATCCACTTGATTCGGGATCTCTTAGCAACTTCATATGTTGTTATTGGATTAGAGTGGTCAACTATTATGCCCACTATATTATCTAGTGTTGGTTGTGACCACTACCACGAGGTGCGTTATACTATTTTGTCCACTTTCTACCATTTAACCAAATGTGAAGAAAAATAATACAAAAATACAAATTTTGATGCTCATGAGCTTTAAATGAAAAATAAATGAATAAACAAGAATATAAAGAGGAAAATACATTCTAAAAGGGAATAAAAATATGTGTAAATGACACTCAAATTCTATAACCAGTTGGGTATAGGAATGAGGATGTGATCATAATCCCAGCAGATATGGAAATGAGGAATCGGAGACGGGAATCGGGGTTGAGGTCCCCGCCCCGTTCCCATGCATAGACCAGATGTCACGTGTGTTGTAGACTTGTAGCACTGGAGCATAGAATCCAAAAATCCACGAGAGCACAAGTGTCGGGAAAAGACATCTATCTGATGCGTTATTTTGAGTAACCCATTTCGCAAAATGTACGAACCCAAAATCAACCGAGAAAGCTTGAGCCTAAGGAGATCTATTAATACCCATATATCCAAAAACATGAGGTACGTTTGGTGTGGTAGGACCAACAATATGCGGAGGTGTATCTTGGATTTTTCTGTTAGTGGTATCACAAAATAATTATTATAATATAGAATAAAAAATAATTACCAAATATAAAAAAATAATTATTAAATAAAAATAAAAATTATGGATCAAGATGAGAAAACTTGTTTTCCCTCAATCATGTTTTGGAAAATATATTTTTAAAAGACATATTTTGTGATCCATCATATTTTGTGAGGTAAGTGCTTATTGGGTAAATTGTTACATACAATTTCATTTTCATATATTAGAATCATACTTAGTATGGTAAGTGAGAATGTTAACTATTATTAGTAAACACTTATCAGGTAAACATTTAGATAAATAGCTTAAACGAGTGATTTATAATAATTAAAGCATTTGTAGTCATGAACCTACAAAGAGGCATGGCGTTGTCACACCAGTTTTCTTCTTTTGCCAAATCAATTATGTTTTTTCTTGAGTATTTCATAGACCTTTCACCTTTAATTATGGAACGTCCTGATTTCTACAAATGAAAAAGTATTTGTGGATAAAAAATAATTATTTTTGTTAAATGTAGCTAGTTATACAACTGATATATTTTAGTAATTAAAAACACAGAAGAAATTAAACCATAACATTTTCTAATATTTTTATTAGAAAAATGTGTGAGCCTCGCTTTTCTTTCACAAACATGTTATAAAAGAACGACCTATTCTTGTACACCTCACGAACAACCGTATGCTTCCTCAACAGGGGCAAAACCCAAGTCTTCTAATTAGGAGGGAGCAACTGGGGTGGGGTTGG